TGTTAATCTCCATGGCGATGTGATTCCACCGGGTATAAATTTTCAAGAGCAAACAGCTGAAAGTCAATCAGACCAACAACGTAGAAACCCTGTAAACCCAGTGGTTGTCCACACTTGCAACAATAAAAAACAAGTAGCACGAGAATAACTTATGAAAACACAAAGATATAATGTGCTTAATGATATAGCCTAAGCATCTAGGCCCAACATTTAATTCTCTTGTATTCACAATTACAATATATGCCCTTCATATATTAGCACAACAGATATGTATGTAGTATATATGGAAAGAAATCAACAACAAAGTTCACATAATTTTGGATATTCAGCTATTTCTATTTGATAAATGAACTTCGCCTGACTTTATTCTCAACAACACGCAAAACAGTCACTATTTTAAGATACTCTATCTTGTATCTTACATTACATGCAAGGTTTGAAAAGGCACTGACTGAGTTCGTTTTCTGGCCTCTAATAGTTCGATAAGCAACTGAAAATGGTTGAATGCTTGAAGTACCGAGATTTGTTTCCAAGACATTTAACAAACAACATTCACAAATAGGCAAACTAACGCAAATGTTCCAAACATCACATACGACGCATAGCATTAATCGAATGACCAAGTGCATCGAATGGCATACTGGAAAGAATCACATAATCCAAACAATACAGCTTATATTTCAAACAGAATTTGTTAAGTGTTCGAAACTTATCCAATAAATAACTTCTATGTTTTTCCCCATATTGTGTGAAGCCCATTCTAGATAATTCAAACCATCTACATAACACAGCTTTAGGATTAAACTCCACATGAAGCAGCAACAATATTATAGCCCAAAAATTATATATATATATATATATATATATAATAACAATCAAAAATCAATTAGAATATCCAGAATTCGAAGTACCGAGATAAAAAACTCAATCCCAACAATTCAAAAGAAAATAGACAAAACCCAGCTAATTGAACACCCAAAACAACCAAAAGGAGACAACTTTACAGAACCCGACAGTCGGAATAAACTCATCGATCAAATCCACAACATAGCCCAAAAAAAAAAAAAGAAAAACAAAAATACCAAATATTACCTTCTAAGCCAATTGAGGAAAGCTTCCCAGAGACCCATTGCCTCAATTGACTCGAAAACCAAACAGATCTCCTTTCTGTCTTCTCTCAATTGGCCTTTTTCCAAAGCAGTCGATTGGTTTGGACGATCTCTAATTGGTAAACAGTCTTTTTTTTCTAGCCAGAATAAATAAGAGTGAATTTTTCAAAAAAAAAAAAATGAAAAACAAAATAACAGCGTAAGAAAAGCCTACTACTATCTTTAATATAACTAGTGTGTAACCTGTGGACTTTATTTATTTTGGAGAATATTATAAAAGAGTCATAATATGAGAGAATTTGTCAAATCATGTCCGTAATGAAAAATTTATATACTATTAAAATTTTCTTGTATACAACATTAGTTTTATACTTGACAACTCGTCGTCTCCACAAAATAATATTTTCAACCACTTTCTAGTACTTACACGCAAAACAACAACATATAATTGGTGATGACTAAATCTCTTTATGAGAAGGTCAACGTACGATAAAGACAGTCTCTAACTCTTGTTTATGGTCGGCGCATACGAAATCATAAGTTGAAACTGCTACCGCTGGAACTTAAATGCAACTTTAAGATCAAAAGGATTTACTTATGTCTGATAATTTACTTAGCGGTTCGACAAATGAGTCGTTAGTTTGTCATTTTAATATCGATTATACTTGATTAGCGAAATTAATATTTACTAATATTTTTATTTTTTTATCACTAAATTCTTAAATCCATGTGAGATAATTATTTATTAATACATTTTATTATATATACGTTTATTTTATTGTTTGAATAACTTGAGACTAATTCTTATTTTAAATAATTGTTAAATAGTAAATTTTATTTCATTCTATATGTGCAATTAAATAATAAACTTAATAATACTTTAAAAAATATATATATTTTTTTTATGTATGCATGCAATATGAGTGTTGAGTCAAAAGCTTGTAAAACAAAGGTTAATTTAATATTAAATACAAAATGAATAATATACAAAAAGATTGTCATGTTTTTAATAAAGCGATAGAATTGATACTTAATAAGAAAAAAATCAACGATATGAAAACTAAAAAAGAAATAAATCAAAGTTTGAAAATTCCTTAATCTTGATGTTTTAGGAAATATTTTATTTTCATATATATATATATATATATATATATATATATACACTTCTAATTATCAATGATTAAAATATAACCATATCCATTAATTCATATTTTACAAATCATATAAAATTATAGATCAAGGAGAAATGGAATAATTGCTTGTAAATTTTTGCTAACTTTAATTTCAATTTGTTGGTATTATATCATTTAAAAAATAGATTAGGTAGAAATAAAGTAATTAATTGAAAAGGTTTTAAAAGTTTAATCATTAAATTTACATCAATTATTGATTTCACTTTACCAAAAATAAAAATCAAAAGTCTTACAACGGATGGTAAAAAAATTACTTAGAGGAAACAAAAAATGCAATATATATATATATATATATATATAAATCAAATTATTAAATAATTTTTATTATTAAATCGTTTTGCGGTTTCCTTAATAAATGTTAGTGTAAAATTGGAAAAGAAAGTTTCATAAGATAAACAAATGGTAAAAAAACAATTAACATTGTAAACAGAAAAAAAAATAGAAATGTGATAACAATGAAGACTCATGCATTGATTTTACTTATAAACTTTCAAAGAAATCGGAAATATTTGATTCTCACTATTTTTATGTAAACATATATTGAACCCATAGTATTTTTAAGAAAATATTTCAAGTAAATCAGAAAATCAGAAATTTTGATTCATAGTAGTTTTAAAATATTTTTTTTTTTTTTTATAAAAGACACACTTAAAGAATCCAGCTAAGATTTGAATCTAAAATTAACTACCGTGCATTTTAGTTAATTAAAAAAAAGTTGCTATCTTTAGACTGCATTAAATGTTGGCGGTTTTTTTGCTACTATTTTTAGTAAATAGGTTGTCTATATATATATCAAATAACATCGATTATTTCTTATATCAATTTTATTTTATTATTCATTTACTCATATTTATTTTTAACTACATATCTTTCGCATTATCGCTACCATACTTTTACTTTACATCAATTTTAAATATTATATTATTAAAATTATTTAATTACAAATTTATCTTATCCACTCAGTCAATTTGATCTAAAATAACTCACTTGAACTCATGATCAATTTTGATATATTTTAACTAGGGCTGGTGTCGTTTCGATTACCAATAACTATCGGTACGGTCACGGTTTTTTACCGAAAAAACTGAAATTTACCAGTAAATATCTTTATTAAGTTCGGTTCGGTAACATTATTTTTACCGAAAAACTGAAATTTACCAATAATAATGCAACTTGATTAAGTTCCAACATTAAAGTGAGGAACAAGTGATGTGCGTGAGAGTGGTTTCTTTCTTCTGGTTGAGTGGTTCCTTTCATTTGGAAACTTGGAAGCCAGCTCTGCGTGAGAGTTTGAGTGAGAATGTGAAAGGGCCGATTTTTTTTTTTCCGTTAATGGGCAAATACTTAATTAATTATTAGTATTAAATTATTAACTATTAATATTAAGTATTATTTTTTTAATTACTTATCAGTTCGGTTCGGTAAAACCAAACTTTTATAGTTTCGGAATCGATAGCGTACTGATAGCATATCAGTAACCGATAATCGGTTATTGTTTTAAATGACTCAGTACGATTCGGTTATTTTTTTCTCGTCGGTTCGATTTGTTTTTGGTCAAAAAAATGTCAGCACTAATTTTAATTGGGTTGACTTTTTACCAACCTTCAAAGTAACTCATTTAGATTTTGATAAGAATCAATTTAATTGGATTTTAATTAGTTTTGACCAACTTACAACCTTAAATTTTTTAATTATTATATTGTTGATGCCCCTCTAATATATGGAAATTACTGTTCAGGCGGATTGATTGGCTGCCGGTGGGACCAATCATGAAAATTGGTTGCCGGGAAAAGCGGCTGGGCCGCGGGGTAATGTAACTCGCGCGTGTTCTGGACTCGGGGTTTAATTTGGAATATAATTAGAGAAAAAATAATTTAATTAAAATTATTGACTTTTATTCATAAAATTCTATCATCAATATTTTTGTCTCTTTACATATTCTTACTTTTATTTAAATATAAGGTTGTGGTCTATTATATTTTTTTTTTTCTATAGATGACAAAAAAAAGATCTATTTATTTTATTCTACTTTTATTTAAATGTTGTGTTGCGGTCTATAATTTTTATTTTCTTTTTTTTTTTAGTTGACAAAAATTCCAGTTGTTGACAACTATGAATAGATTTTTTGAAAGATTCTACGGTCCCGTTATAGAACATTCCGTATGAATTTGTAACCGTTAGATTAATTATCTTTGACGGTTATATGATGATTTAAAGATATACAAAATTAACAAAAATAGGAATTTGGGATCCTTCACTCATTCTACAAACATCTCCTATGAACTTCTGTAAAGATCTTTTTCATAATATAAGTCAGCAAGGCCTTGAATTCCTCTTATGAACTTCAAAACAATGAAGTTACAGTGATGTCGCCATTTGTTTAACGTCAAAGATTGAATTTTCAGAACATATTTTGCACCAACAAGAATAAGAACAGGACAAGTATGTAATCACACGAAGTAAACCAAATTAACGGCCACGATTGAAACCAGAAAACAAAATGTGAGTCGATGTATATAATACACGAGACATACTCAAAAGAAGAAGCCAGCCTGTTGGCCAGAAAAGAAGAATATTTTCAATCTGGTTAAAGACAACAAGAAACATGAAATCCACTCCTCCCAAAAAAAACATTTTAAAAAAAAAATAAATAGAAAAAGCTCGTTATTGCTACAGAGAACAATAGCACGTCTTGTACTTAGCTTTTCGACTTAGAATGCTTGACCAGCCAGTCGATGACCTGGTCGATGTTGGTCGAGTTCTTGCACGAGATCATAAAGCAGCATACCTCCCGATCAGTGATTGACTTTAAACCCCTGGAAGTCAACAACATGAACATAAATCTTAACGTTAGTAAGAATTTAAGGATATTGCATCATTTTTGGTGAGCCAATGTTATTTCTATAGTGATGAAACATACATTTGATCAGTAAGTGCTTGTTTGGACAGTGCTGAAGGCTTGTCGATTTTGTTACCCAGGACCATCAAAGGAATGCCACTTAGTGATGGTTTGCTCAACAGATCGTGGAGTTCGCTTTTGGAGATACTGATATTGTCATGATCGGCAGCATCGACAACATAGCTGCAACAATAAAATTATACATATAACGCATAATCGCAATTAAAAAAGAACAATGTTGTATCAGATGTATGGAATCTTGTCAAAAAATCTTTAATTCACTGGATTCAAGTTATTAGCATTGAATATTTGGTATGGAGTGACCACATAAGAGCATAAAGACTGTAATCCCATGTTCTACGTCTGGCTTACAGAAAAACAGAAAAATATTTACACATATTCGGATCTCACGAGATCTTAAAGAGAAACAGCTTAGATGGAGCGGAACAATCCGTAGCAGAGCAAGGCCATGAGAAATAATATGATGGATGTTTAAAAACTTACACAATTCATCTAAAGATTGTAATAGTAATGGTTTTAAGGTAAGAAGGAATTAAAGCTACAAACAGAAAAACAAAATCAAGTGAAAGGTTAAGTCAATGGATGGAATTATGGGCGTACACAATGGCTGAGACTGCACGACAGTATCTTTCCCACATACTCCGGAATCTAGGTTGACCTCCAAGATCCCACAGCTTTATTGTGACGTTGCCTTTTGTGACTTTCCGCATATTAAATCCAACCTGATATATCAAAACTAGTTTCTCATTAGTAATAGAAAAACGCCATGATTGTCAAGAACGAAACCAACCATATCCAAACAGCTGAGAAAGCAGATTTTTAAACAGAAGTTACCGTGGGTATCATATCTTCACTATATCCACCAGTCTGGGGAGGAAAAAAGAAATAGAAATGAGTAAGTGACTTCTTGATCAAAGAAATAATAATCGAGCAGAATGAAAAAGATATATCTGCATTTAAGAATAGCATGTGCATTTTACTTACAGCAACAACGTTTACAAGTGAAGTTTTCCCAGCATTTTGAAGACCTATCAAGGAAAGCTCCATTTCTTGCTTGAAGAAAAGGCTGCCATTTACGAAAAATAGAACGTGAAATAACTAAAACACATCTTATACTAAGTTATTTTTAACAGAAACAATGCATGTTGCAATAGAAGAAAGAAGAAAAATTCAAATACAAAACGTGATCGGTGATCCACGATATATCCTGAGTGGATGCCGTTCATATATTAGTATAACAGAGACGTATGTGGTCTATAGACGGAAAGAAGTCAACTACAGAGTTTGCACAATTCTCAATATTCAGCTATTTCTATTTGACAAATGGACTCTGAAAGATTTCGTTCTCAACAATGTTCGCAACAATCCTCATTCCGATACTCCATATTGTATCTTTCAGAAAAGCACTCAGTCCATTTTCTGGCCTCTTAACAGTTCAACAAGCAACTGAAATTGGTTGCTTGAAGTTCGAAAAATATGTTCCCACGAGGTTTTAATCGACAACATCCACAAATAGGCAAACTATAAAGCTAATGTTCCGAATGTCACGCATTGCATTAACCGAACGATGAAATTCACCGAACGGCACACTGGGGTTGGGAAATTGAACTCTCACACCAGGAAAAAACTGAAATCTCATTCACACCAGGCAAACTACACAGCTTTTGGATTACAACTCCACATGAAGCAGCAACAACATTATAGCTCCCCCAGATAAGTAGACATCTCATACAGGTTCAACCTCCTCTTACAACATCCAACCAATTAGAAAATTCATGAATCAAATTGCCGAGGTAAAAAAATTCCTCAATCCCCATAAATTCAGAACAGAACAGACACAAACCCAGCAAACAAAACACCAAGAACAATCAAAAGGAGACAACTTTACAGAAACCGACAGCCGAACAAAACCTCGATCAATCAAATCCACAACAACGTAGCCCAGAACAAAAAAAAAAAAAAAA